GGTTTATAATTGGGTAACAAATGTAGCCTCATGTGAAAAGTTTGTAAGAAGTGACTTAAAGGAGCCTGGGCACAAACAGGGAACTTAATATGCCCCTTGGGGTTTTTCCAAAATCATTGCCTTTTCTATTCACTAACATTTTATTGATCCTATCATTTTCCTTTAAATGCTTCCAGTATGCATGGATGAAGGGAGTGGGCCGCTGCTTCTGCCTTCACAAGCAATCCTTCCAGTTACGTGCAAGTACTCCAAAGAAATCTGACTGCACCATAACGCTCAGTCATGGGGGAAGAGGTAACTTGCTGTTAACCTGGTCCTCCCATATATGCCTCTTGTTCACATTCTGTGTATGATGCACCTCAAAAGGATAGAGGCTTTATTTTACCTGGCTCAGTTGGAGGAGGTCACGGTAAAGTCTTTCTTGACCTTTCTTTGGGTGTGGACAGATAGCAGCTGTATGGATCCAGCGATACCGGTATAAGCTGTTCTGAAAAACTGTTATGGCTTCATGCTTCTGTAGTGATACAGGTGTAGCAAAAGAGCTGTAACAGTTTCATCCAGGATTAAGTTATAGTGATTTAACTCATTAGAATCGCTGCAGGAGATGTAATGGGTACATTGTAATGGATGATGTGCGTTCCCCAATGGCAGCTTCCCTTCAATTTTTTAAACAGCTGGGTAGGTTTGCCCATTGCCTAAGTCAGGCCCTTTCAAGAGAGAGGCATTTCATTTTCTGGCTCTTAATCCTTTATTCATCATTCTTAAGGCAATCCGATTTAAACAGCAAATTTCAGACTATAGCCAGTTTACTCTGCAGCAATCTTAAAGGTCTCTTTTGAACATGCATAGATGGCTCTGGTGACTACTGTGTGGATATATTTAAGTTAGACACGTTTACTCTGCTCTAAGCCTTTCTTTTCCTCCTAGAATATTTTGGAATTTTACTTTTTTTTATATTTAGGTCTTTGCTGCAAAATCGATTAAGCGTATAGGATTTGCCCTTCTGAAGTAGGAAGGAGACCACTGATCCTGTTAGCATAGGATTTTGTCACTGATAGTGCCCAGATGCAGTAGAGGCCTCCTTGTGAACGGTTACCAAATAACAGTTCATAGGGGCAATATCTTGGTGTTTCCGGTTACAGTTGGCTGCAGGGCCCCTTAGTCCGATCATCACAAGCACCTCCCCTTTCACCCTGCTTTGTCTCCCCTTTTATTGTTTTACATCAGCAGGGGCCAACTTTTTTGGCAGGCATGCTACAAGTTAAGCTTCATGCCCTCCATAACTACCACTTGGATCCCCTTCCCTACCTGATCTGTAGCTCTACTTTCTGCTCCCTGTCACCTCCCCAATCTCCATGCCATATACAGAGGCTGCCCATGCCGCTTGTGATGTGGACCACAGGTTGGCCACCCCTGTTCTATTTTGCCTTTGCCAGAAAAATGCAGGCTTTTTGCTCTTTCCCTTAATTTTCCCTTAACTTGGTTTAATTTTCTTTGTTCTTTGAAACTCTGAGAAACCCGAGTTCAAATGGATTTTTTTCAGGTAACCGTAGAGAGATCCCGATTAGACCAGATTCATCCTTCTGTGAAAATGCAGACCCTCCTAAAGGGTCTCCTATTTCCTTCCCCACCTACTCTGGCATTCAACTTGCCAATACTAAACTTCCTCCACAGTCAGGGTGACAGTAGCGGAATTTATGTTGCTCTTGTGTCTAGTTTCTGGTAAGCTCGCCAAGCATTTGCATGAGTAGGAAGACAGAAGATACACAAAACTAATAATTTACTAATTACTGTCAGCGTGCTTAGAATTAAACCCCCAGAATGTGCTTTATATGCAATACATATCATCTGTAACATGTATTATTGATCAGCACAAGAGGCCTAAACCTCAGGCTTTCCAACAGGCCTTGCTAGCTTGCTCCCACCCTTCACCAACACTTGGGGGCTATTTCAAGCAAGGATCAGGAAGTCTGTACTCTTAACTCTAGTAGTTAATGACTAGCTCCTGGATCCGAAGTAGGATATTGAATTCTAGCAGAGTCTACCCATCCCTTTTTGGCTACTTGGGGACTCCCTTTTCAGAGTTTTGCTGGGCCCCTATTTCTGAAAATTAATTGCCACTGGTCCAACAAACTTGTGAACTTTGCAAAGCTTCTGGGAACACACTACGGCGTCTCTATTTTTGTTGGGATTATTTTGGTAATCCAACCCAGAGTTCTCTTTGGGTTGTCCTCACTAGCTCTGTTAAGTGACATTTAATCATAATAAGCATGTAACATTTTTTAAGCATTGAAAATCTCATCTCTCTTCTGAATATAATGTTAATACGGCCTAACCAGAGGTGACAGCTCCTGCTGCTTCAGGTTTAGAACAGCATGTTTGTTCTGTGAAATAGTTACTAACCTTTTAATAAGAGAGATTTAGCCAGGACAGATGGTCTCATTCTGCTGTTTAAACAATTGTGGGCTTAGTTGCTCACCCTTCGCTTTTCACATATAATAAGGCAGATGCTGCTAGGAACAAAGGAGTTGCCACTTGCTCACACCTGTGGTCCTTCTAGTCCAACATCTCATCTCCGATCGTGGCTGATAGCAGATACTTCAGAGAAAGATTTAAAATTTGTGGTCAATAATTACAGAAAATGTGATCTTAGTGGAAGCTTTTACCTGCCTCCATTAATTGTCTGGCTCATACCCAGAAATATTTACATCTTATTAAGAAAAAAAGTTCTTTTCATGTAACAGTGGATAGCCTCATTATCCATAAAGGTCTTGTGAATTCTACACTAATTTTCTGGACTTTTGCCACCTTGTTGTATTGAGTTCACAGGTTCTGTGGTAAAAACGAATACATTGAAAAAATCCTTTTCATTTAAAATGCATTGCTTTTCAGTTTGACTGACTGAACCCTTGTGTTTTCATTACAAGACTGTCGCTCTTGATTTACCATCTCCTAGCTGAACATCTTTGTCTTTTCAGTTTACGGAGTAGTTTCATTGCCCACCGATTCCTCCAGCTTGTGTATTAAAATTGGCTGACCAAACCTGAACCCCGTGGGCCAGATAAGTGCCACAGGGCCAGTCTGCAGGCCAGATGGAGCCCTGTGTTGCCCCTGCCTAGCTGGGATCTGCAGCCAGAGGCCCTGCATTGCCCCTGCCCAGCTGGGATCCAGCTGTGCCCTGCTCTGGTGTGGCCAGGATCCAACTCTGGACTGACCCTACACAGCTCTGCACACTGGGATCAGGCCCCTGCGCACCCAGTCGAGCATACTCGGATGCCTGCAGGGCTTCTCAGATCCACGAGGAATCCTGCAGGCCACGTGATGTGGCAGCAGTGGTAAATTGGGTCTGTGGGGTGGGGGTTGAGCATCCCTAGTTTAGATGATAGTCTGTTCCAGCATTTGCTGTCCTTTTTTCATACATCCTAATACGCTTTGACCACCAGCGTACATTTCAGTAGCAACCAACTCTCTCAGTACTTAAATAGGGCTCAGTATCTTGTAAGTACCAGCATCACCCCTGGGTGACTTTTTAAGAGTTGCTGCCCTTCAGTTAGAGTAGCTGATCTTAATAAGAGCATGTATTTATTAGTAACTTGACTTCTTTATTCTGCTGTCAAGTGTCTACTCTCTGGACTTCAAGCTGTTCATCAGCTCGTTTCAGCATTGTCTCTTCCTTCCGTCTCTGAAGTATTTTGTCAGTTGAAAGCATGTTATTTCCATAAGAGCCACTGAAACAAAAAGCCATTTAACTTGTTTGTAATGGTCCTTATTCTTGATTGCTCCTTTAACTGTGCTAGTCCAGCAGGCATGCTCCTTCACTTGTATCTATTGTTCATCATCTTTGCTTCATGGATTTCACTGACTCAGTGCCTGCTCTAGTATTTTGTGGTGGCTTTACCTGGGTTGGGTCTGTGTTTTCTGTGTAACTTAACTTCTTAAAGCTTGCTCTTCAACCACTTTTGCTTCTGTTTCTTTTTTCTTTTGTACATGGGTGTACATCTTTCACAACTCATGCTTAATTTCCCCAATCAATTTTATACTCAGAATTTATACTGAGTTTAAGGATTTTCATTTCTTGCTGCAGAATCTAGTTTGCTTGACTGGCTTTTTTTTAAAAAGTCTCTGCTTCCAAAGTTTAGCATTTTAACCCTAGAACAGTTTATTCCCTGCACCTGTTGAACACATCATTCCCATAGTCATAGATGCAGGGGCTTGTCAGCTTACTTTCTAAACCATCTCCTGTGTGCTGTTAGACATAACTCCATGCCTTGCATCCTCTAGTGTCAGGTGTTGGAAGATGTATTTAAAAGGCAGCGGTTTCAGTGTATCCCCTGCCCGTCCCCTCTCCCCACCATCCCACTTGAAGGGGTTGGGGGTTGGAGGGACAATTCAATTTCTTCAGCATCTAAGCTTGTGTTAATATCTAGGCCTTGCAGCTCAGTGTGCCTTCCAAACACAAACAGGGTGACCTGCGCTGTTTTTCTCCTGGAATCTACACACACACATCTGAAACATGAGTTTTAAGTACAAATTCATACAAGCCTCCTTACTTTCACTGAGTAGTTAAATACTTGTATTCAAATGTAAGCATTGTTTAGGTTTGTGGAAAGTTAGTTACTACCACAGGAAAGGAAAGAACAAAGATTGAAGCATATGAAGCTCTTGCAGTTACAAACAGTCGCTGCATTTTCAGTAACACTGAACATGACATGCCAGACAGCCAAATGTTTAAGTACCACTTGAAGGCCTCTTCTCCATTAGTGGAAGAGTGTAAGTCCTACATCTATACTGTGAATCACAGCTGGAGACCTGACTCAGACCAGCTAGCCCAGTATCCTTTCTATCTCAGTTGCAGAGCAGAGGCTAAGGATTACCATATAAATTGTTTGTTGTGAAGAAGGCTATGCAGTTCATTACTGGAGAGGTTCAGTAATATTTCTAGAAGTTGACAGTTTCATCTCCGTGCTCTACCTTTGAACACTTCTATGGGTAGAAATGCATTCAGTGTAAAGCCATTGTTTTATTTACAAGTACAGACAGAGCTGATTGATATCACAAGAAATATTCAAACATGAATGGTGGTTATAGACATGTGGTTGGGTCTTCAGTCTCTTGCCAACTTCTCTAGGCCTCTTAACCAAAAAACAACTGAACGAGTGGAGTATCTAAAAAAAAGTCTTTCTGTATCAGTTCAGTCAGCCAGGTCTGTATAGATGCACACAGACAACTTACTTTAGAAAACAGGAAGCAGCCTTTATGAACAAGGGTATTTCATAACAAATTAATAAACATTATAGGGTATCTTAGACTTGTCACTGCTGTGCTATTTTTACACAGGCCATCAAGAAAACATTTTAAAAACCATGCTATTCCTCACATTCCACTAGGAGGATAAACATTAAAAAGTTACTTTAGCTTTTTCTTAATAGAAAAAAAACCCAAACACTTTCTTGTATAAGAGGAGATTGGAACGAGGATTAAAAAAAAAAAAAAGACTGCTAAAGCAGCCAGCACCTGTCCTGTCCTGCAAAATAAACGGGACAGTATCTACAAGCAGAATTTGGGTCAGGGTCCCCAAATCGCTTAGAGGAATTCATCCTTTATTCGTTCCCTCGTCGACTCTTCTTGTGGCTTTTCTTTGATCTGAAATGGTAACAACAATGTTTCAATGTGTGTTTGAGAGAGAGAAGCTGCTGGACAAAGCAAACTAGATGGTTTGTCCTAAAAAAAAAAAAAAAAATTAATTGCAATGCAGACATGAGGTATCAACCTGTTGCTTTCTAATAGAAAGACCCAACCCACAACCTAACTTGATTTCAAAACAAATAGTAGTAAGAGAAATTGGTACAAATCTCAAAATTCAGTTTCTTTGTGAAAGGAAAGCTCTGACATTGGTTTGCAAGAGCTTTTTCACATATGAGTGGGAATTTTTAAGAAAGACAAAGCTTTTACCTTTCAGGTGATTTGGAATGACTTCTGTGTCTATGACTACGATGGTGCCCTGTTAACAAAAAAATAAAATTATTAGTGCTGATCTCCAGAAAAAAGAACTGTCACATGACTACTCTCCATTTCTGCTAATAAAGTCTGCCTCTAGCACTGACCCTCCAGTACTGTCAAAAGATTAACTCGTTCCCCAGTTAGGCATTTAATGTTAGAATTTTTTTGTGGTTATCTAGTGATAGAAACATTTGAAGATGAAGCTAAGCCAGTCTTACATAGAGTAAGAGCCGTTCTTAGAGCATAAATTCATACAATTTTAGCCATGTTCTAAACTGAACTTATCCATCCACTCCGTGATAGCAGGAGCTAGATTCTTAGGGCATTATTAAGACAGACAGCAGCATATAACTGAACTACCTGGAGATTTAGATCTTGATCTGTGGCGTCTCTCCCTGGACCTGCTCCGGTGTCGCCTTGGGCTTTTGCTGCGATGCCTCTCCCGGCGCGGCGATGGGCTAGAGGGAGGGAGAATGTTAGACAACTTGATTTTACAAACAATTGTTTTTTCCAACAGAATGTAAAAGCAATAACTCTTTTACCTTCTCCTCTTGGGTGAGCGGCTTCGCCTGCAGGTAAGAAAGACAAGAGAACGGCTTGAAAATTGGTGAAGCATTCATTCAGTCGTTACATAGCCTTTAGTTCTGGAACCAATGCTTAGCAGACGGCTGAAAAGTTTTTTCTGGGGGAAAAGCAGCAATACATCACCTTCGTGGAGACCTGCTTCGGCTCCTCCTGTATCTCACAGTTGGAGATCTGCGTGGCTTGTCCAAATCTCTGTAGCCTCTCCTGCGATGATCAGGGGAGGGTGCCCTCTCCATCTGCAAGCAACACAAAAATCACAGAGCTCCTAACAATCTTTTCACCCTGATGTTCCGTATGCATAAAGATGCAGCAGGGCTTTCTAGTCAACTTAAGTCTTAAAATGAAACTACCTACACATTTGATGACTGCACAGTACAAAGTATACTGACTTTAGTAGAAACTCTGTTTCTACCCTATACCCAACCCCCCCTCAAAATATGGTGAAACTGACCAACCAAATATCTATTTTAATGTGACCACAACATGTCTAATTAGGAGAGAATACATAAGCCAGTTAAAGTTCATCAGGCAGAGAACCCCGATAAAAAGTCTGTTTTACTGCCATGGTAGGACTTAAGACTTCACTAGCAGTTCTTATGACACTGCAATGATGAGAAGTTTTCTGGAAACGCTCCACTGCATAAATATTTTGGCACCCAAAGTAACTTTCCATTGAAGATAAACAACAATACAATTCACAGACCTTTTCATCCTCCTCTTCCTCTTCCTCGCTAGACTCTACATCATCCATATCTTCTTCCAGTGCACTAACCCGAGTCTCTAGTTGTTCAGCTTCTTCCAGGACGTAACGTTTCTAAAAGAAATACCCACTTGTCATTTCGTGTAATCCACACAAACATGCTTACATATAAGGCTTAATTTGCACTTGACAGACCCTTAGCTATTATGTTGTGCAGCATGCTTGTAAGTCAGATGACTGCTTATGTTATATATAACATAAAGTTGGATTACCAGCCTCTACATACCTGCAATCGAGGTAAAATGATATCACAGACACGTTCCTTATGGAGCAGTTCATCAATAAATTCATCCACATGCATCAGTTCAAATTCTGAAAGAAAAAATATGTTTAAAACAAGGCAGTCATCTTTGCTTTAGGTACCAATACTTAATATTCAGGAGACTATGTTATGTGCTGTTCAAACCCAACCCTCACAGCAGAACAGCCTAGCAGCTGGGAAAGTTATTAACCCTGTTTAACAGGTAGCAAACCTGTGGCAGAGCTACAATCAGAAAATCCCTGATGCCCAGTCCTATGCTCTTCCTTTAGGTGCTGCTCTATTAACACAAACACATAGGCCTGAAGAAAGTACACAGAAGTGTGCGAGCTCCAATTTAAGATAATGTTAGCAAAGAAGCAGGCCCAGCCACAGCATATGTGATGAGTGAATTCATATCAAAACAAGGAGCTATTTCCACCCCTGCATTCCTATATAGCAGACAATACTAAAGGAGAGGTCTCTTACAAAGGGCTGTCCGTGCCGCTCTGCTTTACCCTGAGAACATAAGATTTCTTACCCCCATTTCTATTTTGACTCTTTATTTTCCGATAATCGTTGTACAGTGGCTCGAGGTACTTGTAGCAGTCGATGGCAGTGCCAGTCAATCTCATGTATAATGCACCAAGCATTCTGACATATCTGAAAAGCACAACAGAATGCAGCGGTTCACATGCGAGATCTTTCTGTGCAGGAAGATAATGAACAGTGAAGCCTTTCTTGCAAGAGCCTCAGAGGACGACTGATACACAAACTAATATGACATGGGAGACTGCACTTTTTCTCCCGTATGTGCCCACTCCTAACAACTCTGCGCCCTTCGTGCATTATCAGTTCTATACCAAAAGAAAATGGGCAGATTGCCAAATCCTGGATCCATCCCTGGATGGCTAAGGAGCTTTGGGAGCAACAACCTGCCCCACACAGGTGACTGTATCCCTGCTCCCCACCTCCCACCCACTGGTGCCCACAGAGCATGCTGGGGGAGCCTCCAGGGACTTCTTAAAGGTCCCAGAGCAGAATCCGCCCCCACCCCCTTCGTGTTTAGTCAGGTCCTCTCCCTTCTCCTTCCTTGCTCGTGGCTGCCGCTTTCCCTACTGTCCCTGAGGTGCGGGGGAAGCTTCTGTACCAAGCCCGCGTACTCCAGCAAGGCTGGGCAGGGGGCTAGGCTCAGCAGGAACAGTAGAAATGGGCCAAGGGTGGGTTTCCCCACCTAGCCTTGCCCCATGGAAGCAGACATAGGGAGGGGAAACCCTCTTGTCTTGGCTACTACCACTGTCCCAGCTGAGGCCAGGAAGGAGCAGGGAAGTGGCAGGGGAAAACATGACTGAGCCCAAAAGGGAAGGGGGGATTCTCACCTGCTCCAAGGACTTCCAAAAAGTCCCCAGAGGTTCCCACTCTGTGATCCAGTCTGAAAGGGGGGTGCTACCGCGCCCCCCCCAGCCCAGATCTGCCCCCGTAGCCACCTTACCACACCAGCTCACACACGGACAAAGACAGGTGCGCATCATGAACGAAAGGAAACAAGCACGAGAAGGAAGGCAACCTAAGCAAAGAGCTCACACTGGGAAAGCAGGCATTACCGGGCAGGCTTGTGCACAGCACCTGGGAAAAGAGACACTCCCCACAGAGGAGCCCTGTTCTGGCCCAGCCTGGCACTCAGCTGCATTGTCACTGTCCACCTCCCATGTCTGCCTCCCTGGCCCGACAGCTCCCAGGGCAGGGACAGCAACCTGCCTCGCTTACTTGAAGTCTTCGTTCTTGATGAACTCCACAATGATGTCCTTCTCGGGCTGGATCTGCAGCATCTTCAGGGTCAGGCACAGGAAGGGCGTGGGCTTGATGTTCCCTCCGTACACGCCGCCGACGTACTTCAGCTCCATGGCCTTGTCCACCACCAGCTCCGCTAGAATTGACAGGGGGCAGGACGAGCCCCGCGGTCAGTGCCAGGCAGCTCGAGCCCAGGGCCCGAGCACCTTGCACACGGCGCGGTGGGCCCAGCAAAGGGGGAGGGCACTCGGGGACTCTGAGGGCAGGGGACGGGCTCTGCGGCCAGGCTGGAGGCATCAGTAACTGTTTCGCCTGCCGCGTCACTGCCTCAGCACCAAACCCCGCCCCCAGGGTCCTAGGTCCCGCCCCCAAGAGCCAGGTGGAAACCTCAGTAACAACTTAACCAACCCTGTCACTGATGCACGTGGACGAGTTTATTGATGAGCTGCTCCATAAGTAACGTGGTTGTGACCCACCCCCCTGACCCCAAGGCCCGAACCCCAGGCACAGGTGGAAGAGTTAGTAATGGTTTCACCAAGCCTGTCACTGCCTCCGCACCAAGCCCCGCCCCCAAGGGCCAGATAGAAGCACTTAACTAACCTTGTCGCTACCTCAGTGCCAAGCCCCGCCCCCAGGGCCCTAAACCCCGTCCCTGCATCCCCCCTGGCCCCAGCCCTAGGGCCCTGTCACTGCCACCGCGCCAAGCCCCACCCCCCGAGGGCCCTAGGCCCCGCCCCCGCGGCCTAGCCGGAAGCGCCCCTTGCCCGGGGGGGCCGTACCGGTGAGGCCGAAGCACTCCTCCTTCCAGTACTTGGACTCATAGATGCGGGTGCGGATGATCTTCTCCACCAGGTACTGCGGGTTGGTGCCGTGGATGCTGTGCGCGTCCTTCACCGTCCGGTTCGCCATGGCCCTGGCGGCAGGCGCGATCGGCCCCCGGATGTGGAACTGCTTCGAGCTTCCGGGCAGGAGGAAGCACTTCCGCTTCCGGCGCGAAGTCACGTCGCCCTCCCCTCTCGGCGGCCATCTTAACTCCGGGCGCGGCTTCGCGAGGCCCACCCCCAAGCGGGCGGCAGGCAGCCCCGCGGGGGGCGGGGCGGCGGCGTTTGGCGCGAAATTTTGTCGGTGCTGCCGGGGCGCGGAGCAGCGTGGCTTGGCGCGGTGAGTGCGCCCTTGCTCTTGCCCCTGCCCCTGCCCCTGCCCCTGCCCGTCGGCGTGGCACCCAGGTGGGCCGGACACCTGGGTTCCCCGCGCTGCCAGGCGGATCCGACCCGCTCCCTCAGGGCTTTAAAATGGCTGCAGCCGGGCGCGCGCGAGGCCTGGGGGCGGAGGGCGGCTTTAGGGGTGCGATGAATGTAACGTGTAGCAGTGCCCGCCCCCCTCCCCGGGCGGCCTGGATTCCCGCTGCTCCCTCCCCCAGGCAGGGCCCTTGGCCTGGCCAAGAAGGGGCGAAGGGACCAGCCCTAGCAGCAGGTATCCTCTGAGTCTCCATCTTCCCCTCAGCAAGTGCCCGTGGACAGCTGAGGCGGCTGAGCTTCGCCCCTGCCAGCGCCGCGCCCCTCACCTGCTGAGAGCCCCGCCGTGCGCTCAGATTCAAGCTGGGCAGACGCCTGCTGCAGAGCGGTTGTGTGTTTTCAACCTGTACCGGTGTTTATACAGCCCTTGTGCAACTACACTTCCATCACGTTGGATAGACGCATCGTGTCATCATTGTTCAGGGCTGGGAGGGACCTTGCAGATGGTCGGGTTCGGCCCACTGCACCCGCGCAAGGAAGATGGGTGGTATCAGGCGGTGCCGGCAAGGTTGGGCGTCAAGATGCTTTTTGACAATCGCCAGGGTGGGAGGCTGTCGCCTCTGCGGGGAGCCTGGTCTGGACCCTCAGCTCCAAAACCCTCTGAACCCGCGGTATGGAAGCAAATTGTCAGCGGCGACGGAAAGCAGAGTTCATGAAGTTATTTTAGCCGAGTGGAAGCTGTGCAAAGGGGAGGATCACAAATGCGCTTCATGAAATCCCTCCGCAGCAGCTGGAAAATGTTTTCTACGAGTTGGAAAATCAGAGTGAACGATGTATCGCAAAAGATGGCAATTGTGTCCAAGTCCAGTCATTTGATATGTATTGTGTTAAAACTTAATGATTGATGCTTTCAATTGCCATTTGCAGTTTGCTTCTGTTATGTGCCTATCCAAAGTTATTAAAATTGCCCGAGGACTTTTATAAGCACCCTGTATAAATTACTCGCATAGCTGGATAGTCCTTTTCATGGCGTGAGAATAACTTTGCACGTGTGGCTGCTCTAAATTTATTGTGCGATTTACCAGTTAATCGTGCAATGGACGCAGTGTGTAGCTGGGGCCTGAATGTTACAGGCAGACAGTGAGATGAGGTCTGTCTACCTCACCCTTGCTCAACTTTCTAAGTGTTTCTTCCCCACGAACAACTTCAGCACCTGCTTCTGCTGCTGGATCATGGACCTCTCCCAGCAGGGCTAGCAAACCACTGACACCATCCTTTAAAGATCAACTGCTATCCTCGTAGATCAAATGGGAGCCCTGAAATCCAGCCAAGATCAGAAGCATGGAAACTTCTGTCAGTAGCCGAAAGCTTCTGGCTTTTATTTGAACGTGTAGCAGGGTCCTCAGAAAAGCCTTTGTGAGAGACTAGTAGAAGAACATTCAGCTCTAGCAGGGATGAAGGATGCAAACACTCAGGGAATCGTACTTTATATTATCAGACCAGTTTATCTCTTGCAAATCATAGGCCAAAAGTTAGGTTTAAATTTTAAATTCCTTTGAAGCAACCGGTATCTTTTTCTGAGGCACAGGGAAGTTTGGTGACTTGCTAAAAGTAACTTGGACTCTGTGTCTCAGCTAGGAATTAGACTCCAGAAATCCTGCTGCTTTCTCTTGCTTTTGTTGTTAAACAACACTGCTTATAGCCGTAAACCTTGTGCTGCTTTTAATTTTTTTTCACAGAAATCATGAGTCTGAGGCGTCGGACTAGGCTTACATATTCGTGGTATGGAAAAGCAACAAGCTCAGATAGGAGACTGCAGACAACTCAGTATAGGTAAAGAATACCTATTTTACTACTGGGTTAGAAACACAAAGAAATGTGACACTTATGGGGAGTTATAGAAAAAGTGCTGTAGGGACACAGGTAATTGGAGTAGTAGTATCTGTCAGATGTCTGCACCACAGAATGAGCACAAGGAAGAAGTAATGAGAACATCTTGTAAAACTTTCTTATCAAAGACAGGTGCTCTTGATGTGTATGATGTGGTAGATGTATAATAGCTGTCCAGCAACAAAGCTGTTGCACTGCGGCTGTACCGAGAGAGGTGGAGAGAGGAATTGAAAGAAATGTCCTCTTTTGAGCAATTGTCTCTAGTTGGACACTTTTTTGGTCACTTTTGCATTTGCCAGTGCTATTGGAACTTGGATAATTACATGCTGGTTGTTTAAGTTTTACAGCATCACCTGGATGTTATACTTGTCACTTTCTAAACAGTTGTCTTGTTGCTCTGTGCTTTTAAGGGTTTTTTACATTTTGGTGGCTGATAGAATCTTTTATGTAGAGTCTTAAATTTGGTAAAACGCTTTTGATCCTTTGGCACGAAAGATTGCAAAATGTAAGTTTCCTGTGATACTTTAAAAAAAAAAAAAAATCTAATGTTCACTTGGTGTCTTTTAAACTGATGTGTTAACTCCAAAGGTTGCATGCAAGTTCCGCTAACTGTCCAGTCGCTTGTGAACTGTGATTCCATCTCCTATTTTTAGCGGGAAACAGAACATCTGAACAGAGGAAATGTTGCATGTATTTGGCAAGGAGATCTGTCCAGAGAGGAAGTGATAATAAGACCACATTTGATTACAACAGCATCTTGAATTGTAAGGAACGTGAAACACTTCTTTTAACCTCTGTGTGTTCATCATTTCCTAGGGGACTCCTGATTAAATCAGAAAGCTCAAAAACCTGCATACACCTTGGAGAGTGTGTTTTAATAGAAGGGGAGAATGCGGATCAGCCTTTTGTGGCAAAACTTTTGAAATTATATGAAGATAGTAAGTGCAATTTTTTTTCTTCATAAATATGTGTCCCTCTGCCTTCTATCTTGGAAATCTTGAGCCATTTCAGAAATGTGCAAGACTGGACCTCCTTGTCCCTGCAAAGTAGGTGTTTAATTTTTCTTTTATTTAAAGATGAAGGTTGAAAGATGGACATTGAGAAGCTGAGTGACTTGCGTCAGCGTATGCAGTGAACTGTGGCAGAACGCAACACAGGCCCTGTGCCTTCTCAGTTTCAATAACTTTACTTGACCAGCATTATTTATGGAAACTGAAAATTAACTTGTGTCTCGGGAGCTATTTGTCTGAGGTTCTATCTGTTATGAGTTATTTAGTACTGTACTCACTGCTGGTAGCTAGAAGTGTCTTTTGTTGTTAAGATTCAGTGAAAACTGTTCATTATATTAAATACTAAATAGAAAAAAATGCAGCAAAACCACTTCTTAGATATGAAGATCTGGTCAATCTTTAGATCAGTGGTTCTTGGCCTTTTTAGACTCAAGATACCTCTCGGAAAATGCCAGCTGTTGGCTTTCACTCATTTCTTGAGCACAGAAAAATAACAGAGCAGTTTCTTTTGGTGCAAAGAACTCAAACACCACAGCAGGGTGTTTTTTGACAGATGTGTCAATATTTCATAAAACAAGAATTTCTTGTGAACTGTGGTAAGGCAGCAGTCCTGTTTCCCTATCACTCCTTAAAGTGTATGGACTTAATCCATCTCAAGGGCAGTTGTTTAGATTTAGATTTCAGCTAGTAGTTAATGCAAGGAGGGTCAAATCACTCCTGAGCTGATATTTTGCTTACAAGCCACATGTTATTCATGCAGTGGGCTGGAATTATGGTAGTCATTTTCTTCTCTCCTCTCCCTTCCTCACCCCAGTGTAGGACCAGTTAAATACTTTAGTACAATTCAGGAGAGCACAGCTGGTGACATTTAGCATTCCAAAAACAAATGGAGGAATCCTGATTTTTCTGGAACTAAGCATAAAATTCCTAACATAAAGAATAATCTTTTGGGCAGTAAGATTATTGATGCCTTATGTTAGATGCTATATGTTGCTGGAGTCTGGAGATTATTGATGCCTTGTGTTAGATGGTATATGTTGCTCAGTGGCCAGCTTGCAGATTAATAGAAGTAGACCTTATTTGGGAAGGAAGTGCATTTATTTTTCTATTTAGACCTCTCTGCTTCAAAATTGAGCAAGCATATAGGATTTGCCATACTGAAGTAGAAAGCAGATCACTGATCCTGTTGGTCCCAGATCCTGTCACTGATGGTACCCAGATGATGTTCAGGTCCTTTAGAGTAGAGAATGGTTTATGGGGGAAATTTCTTCTTAATGTTTTCAGTTGAAGCTGGCTGCAGGGGTCCTTAGTCCTGTCATCTGTGTTTCTCTTTCATCTCCAGCACTCCTCCTTTCATCCTGTTCTACCTCCCCTTCTCTTGTTTTACATTGTCCAGGAACTTTGCCAGAAGTAAGCAGTTTCTCCAGTTGAAGCAATTGATTGTTTTCCCTAATTGGGTCGGTTTAATTTTCTTTTTTTTCCTGAAACTAGGGAACCCAGGGTCAAACTGATTTTTCCAGGGATTATAGGGAGATGTCGGACAAGGTTAATCCTGTGAAAGTGCATTTCCTCAGATATAAGGTCTCTTATGTTCTTTCCCATCTGTGCTGGTAGCCAACATGCTCATTCTTAACTTCCCTTGCCCTGCATACTCATAATCATAGAAGCCAAGCTTAAAAATTAATTTGCTCTCTTATATCTGATTTCTAGTGAGCTTACCAAGAGTTAGCAAGAATTTTGTAGCAATACATAAACTACAAAAGATTAGTAGTTCACTAATTATTGTCAGTATATTAATCAGAAACGGTGTAGCCTAGACTTTGTATGCAATTTT